GCAGGGATGCTGGCCCTCAACCCCCCCCCCCCCCCCCCCCCCCGGCTGGTTCACTGATCTCTGAGAAAGGGATTACCAACAGGCCCACCTCACATTCTCCAAGGTTCCTGTGAGCAGCCCTGGAATACGCACTTCCATGTTTTTTCCATTTTTAACTATTTTAACGGGGCTGGGTTACGCCCGACCACACAGAGTTCACCCCGGCCTGAGCGTCTGGAACGGGGCTGACTCATTCATTTCCAAACACGTCAGGAAGAGGCAGATTTAGTCAGCTCTGAAGTCTGCCAACACACCAAGGCCCAGGTAAGCAGGAAACCCAGCAGATAGTGACTTCTCACCCTACTGGGCTCTTCCAAAGCCGGAGCCCTGGAGGAGGAGGAGGCTCCTGAAGGGCCCGGCCCCTGGAACAGCCAGGATGGACAGGAGGGAGGCCTCCCTGCTCTGAAATCGCCCCCAGTTCTGACATGCTATGTGACCTTGGGCAGGTTACGTAGCGTGTCTGAGCCTCTGTTTCCTCATCTGCTAAACAGGAATCCTGCTGCCTGCTCTGTGGGTGAATTAACATGCAAGCATGCCAGCCAGCTCCCCATCCAGGATTATTATTAATCTGACTGGGCACTGCAGAGTGTGAAGATCTGCTGAGGACAGATGAGGCTGTGTGTGCTGGGGGTTCAGCGGTTAGAAATTTCCATGGCTAGCTAAATGCAGGGACACACTTGTACATTTGTGGCCTGAAAAACCCCACCCCCACCCCAAACCCTCTGTTCCTCTAGCAGTCACGCTAATAAAGAAGAAAAAAGAGAGAAAACCTGCAGCCTCAGTACCTGAGTGGTGAGAGGATGGGTGTAGCATCCAACCCAACACTCTCGTTTGATAGTTGGGGTAAAGGGAGCTCAGAGAGGTTGTCCGACTTGAAAGTCACACAGCAGTCACCAGGGGAGTCGCATGAGGATGCCCAGGTCTCCTAAGTCCCTCTCCCATGCTCTGGCCACTCGACCTGGGTCTTGAACCCTAGCTGCCCATGAGAAACTCCACCCCAGCTCCCCCACCACCGCGCTTCTGCCTTGCTGGGTCTAGGGTGCCCTGAGCATCAGTCCTAACCAGCCAGCTGATTCCAAATTCAGGATCCTGTCGGGATCAAAGGAAGACCTGGTGGGGGGGCCTCCTGCCAGGATATGGATGGGACTCCAACCATCAGAGCCAGGAAGCCGCTGGACCGGGCAGCTGTCCTGTTATGGGAATAGGATGGGGCAAATCCTGGCGGTCAGAACAGGTGCCCTCTGGGCCTCTCCCCCGCCAACAATGCAGATGAGGGCTGGGAAGATCACACCAACTAGGGGCATGGAATCTCACAGCCCCCTTGGGCCCCAGTACCTGCTGTGAGTCACAGAAAGTGGGCACAGGGACTAGAGGCCAGCATGGGCATGAGACAGGGCCTGTGGCTGCTGGGCAGCTGGAACCAACAGCATGGCTGTCAGCCCACCTTGCCCTGGAAGCTCTTTTGCAAAGTGAAGATTTTAATAGAAAAAGCTTTCTTGTTCTTCTCTGTATAAGGAGTCTGGCTCTCCACAGTTAGGGGGGAAGTGCTTCCCAAGGAGTCTGGGACGTAGACAAACCTTAGACCCACATGTGTCCTTACCCTGGCTGACCAGACAACTGGATGTGGTGACCAATGCCATCCAGACCCCTGGCAGCTGCTACCCTCACCACAGATGTGGCCATGTGTTCCCACATGCCTGATGACAAAAGGCGGTTCAGCCTGGAGGACAGCGCCACAGCCCTGGGCTCCCAGCCCACCTCTGCCTCAGTTTCCCTAGTCATAAATGGAGGATAACAACACTGATTTCAAAGGCTGGGGTGGAGAGTGTGTGAGAAGAGGGGTGAATGTGAGTGTGAGCCAGCTAGAAAACATCCCATCTGTTTCTGCCACGATGAGGACACCACTCTTGGGGCAGAGGTGGCTCCCAGACAGGGCCGGGGCCTCGGGGGGTCTGAGAACCCCATGACTACACGCAGTTCAGAGTGAACGCTCCTGATAACACGTTTCTGGGCAGACAGTCTGCACATTCCATGGGATTATCAAAGGGGTCTGTGACCCAAGGAAAAAAGGGTCAGAAATGCCCGCCCGGATCTCCGGCCCTGCTGGGGGTCACGCGCTTCAGTGGAGTACCCCTGACAGGCCTCAGCCCCAGTCCCGTGACTCGGCGTGACTTGCTCAGCGGCCGGAGCGCTTTCATGTCTGGCTGGGAAAGTCGGATTTCAGAGCTAATTACAGGGCTGTCGTCTGCACTCAGCTCACAGCTCGAGATTCTGGGGGCACCAGCTCCTTGGAAACACCCAGAAGCCTTTGCCTCATGCACGAGGGGCCCAGCCCTGGCGGCTGGCAGGTGTCCAGACACCCGAACTGGGAACGAGTAGTACACAGGCCTTGCTGTGACAGCCTGGTTTGAGGCTCAGGGATACAGTGGTGGACACATCAGGGAGGGTCCCTCACCCCTGGGTTGGCGGGGTCACGGGCACTGATGGAGACGAGCCAGGCGGCTAGAAGATTGAGGGGGTGCTGCCATGGTCTCCCTTCCCCTCCTTAGTCATCACCCCAACTGACCAACTGACCCTCAAGTCAGCTGGCCCAGGGTCACCCCACAGCCACCAAACCCACATCTTATCTGTGCCTTTTACCTACATGGAGCAGGTCTCCTGTCCTGACTCCCTGGGGAGGAGCTGAGGGCAGGGCCGGCAGGCTAACGCCCGTGCAGTGGGCATCTCGGCAGCTCAGACCCCATCCCTGAGACGGAAACATTGGCATCCACCTCTGGCTTGTCCCCTCCTTCTCTCCACACTCTCTCCTTCCTTCCTTTTGTGAAACCAGAAAAGAGCGAGTCCTAGGACAGCTCAAGATGCTAATTAAAGGGGAACACCAGACAGAGAGCAGTGTTGAGAATAAGTCACAGCCATCACGGGACTGGGGTCCCCATGTGCCACACTCATTCAATACCCCATGGCCTAAAGGCCTCACAAGAAGCCAGACAGGGCCATGAGAAACCCCCACTCCACAGGTGCCGACACTGAGGCTGGAGGTCCCAGTCAATTTCTCGAAACAGAACCTGGGTCTGTCCACTTGTTCAGTGCAGGCTCTTTACCCACGTGGAAAATACCTCAGGTCATGGGTCCCCAGAGGAATGACGGCTGAGGACGACCTCAGCCCCAACCCACGTGGATCTGTGAAGTAAGGGTCACAGTGGGGGACTACATCGCTCTAGGGGGGCCCTGGCAACCCCATTTATCTCCCACACGTGAGAAGGCAGAAAGTGCTCTCTAAACCCCACAAAGGGCCACCACACTGAAAGGGGACCCAGAGCCCCAGAGTCCCGTTCTCACCACCAGCAGACCACTCTGATGGAAACTAGACTACTAAAATTCCAACAAAACAAGCCAACACATCATCTTGCCTTTGGAGGGACTTCTCACTCAGCCCATGGCACCACCCCTGACACCCTCATCTCACAGCCACCAGAGCCGCAGGTTAGCCTGTCCTCAGCTGGCCACTGCTATGAATAGTCCTAGATTGGGACCAAAGCTTTTTGGGTCCCTCACATCACTGTGACATCGCTGAGACTCCCCAAAAAGGTAAATAAGGAGCCAGATTCGCTACCTACGCATTATTTTACTTACTACACTTTTTGTATGAATGAGTCAGTCTCTGCTTGTTCGTCATCGACCAGTTCCGAGATCAGAAAGGAATAAAAAATTTTTTAACCACAATTTCCCTCCCAAGCTCAGAAAGGAAATTCTGTCACAAGTCCACGTGGTCTTGCATCAGGCAGGGGAGATTGCTCAGCTCCAACGAATCTGAACGGACTGGCTGGGTAGCGGAACGCCCCGCAGAGGCTCAGGGCAGGGACCCTGCTGTCTGTCTCCCTGCGGCACTCCCAACAGCATGTGTAACGAATGAATGAAACACACGTGGGTTCTGGGACCAGGGACCTTAGCCTAGAACTGCGGGGATGGCCCGGGGGATGCGGGGCGGGGCCGGGGGCTGGTACTCACGCACGCAGAGGGAGGCCACGAGCTTGACGGCGTCTTCGGGCACCGGGCAGGTGGGGAAGAGCGGCTTGAGCAGGTAGGTGGCGAAGACGAATGCTACTATATACTGAGAGGAGGGTCGGATGATAAGCAGCTCAACCCATAGCTTAAGGAAGGCGGGCAGCGAGCCGTAGACCTCCAGCATATACGCGTAGTCACCCCCGGACTTGGAAATGGTAGTGCCAAGTTCCGCGTAGCAGAGCGCCCCAACTATGGAGAAGATGCCGCACACGGCCCACACCACCAGAGCCAGGCCCGGCGAGCCCGCCTCCTTGAGCACGCCGGTGGGGGTCACGAAAATGCCCGAACCGATAATCGACCCTACGATTATCGCCACGCCGTTGACCAGGGTAATGCTCCTCTGGAGGGTCACGGCCTCTCCCCCCGCGCCGTCCGCGCGCCGGGCCTTCAGCATCCGCTCCCGCGCCTGCCGCTCTTCCTCCTGGGCCGCGGCGGGGGCCGCCATGCTGCCGCGCGGGCGGCCGGGACACGAGGCGCGTGCGGCCGACGGCGGAGAGCCGGCTCCGGCGGCGCAGCCTCCCCTCGATGCTGCCAGCGGCATGCGTGCCGCTTTTATAGGCCCGGCCCCGCCCCTTGCCAGGCTCCGCCCCGCCCCCGTGCCGGGCCCCGCCCCGCCCCCGTGCCAGGCCCCGCCCTCCTCGGAAGGGGCCTGCGGAGGACCCCGCTCCAAGTCTAGCTTGAGGATTCAATGGCAGGCTGCAGGGGACAAGGGCTCAGCCTTTATTCTTTGTTTTTTTCTCCACAGATTGGCACCTGAGTCAACATCTGTTGCCAATCTTCTTCTTTTCTTCTTCTCCCAAAGCCCCCCAATGCATAGTGTATTCTAGTTGTGGGTCCTTCTAGTTGTGCCATGTGGGACCCCGCCTCAACATGGCCTGATGAGCCGAGCCGTGTCCGCGCTCAGGATGCGAACCCGTGAACCCTGGGCCACCGAAGCGGAGCGTGCAAACTTAACTACTCAGCCACGGGGCCAGCCCCTCAGCCTTTACTCTTGAAGAATGCCAGAGGCACCTCAGGTAAGAAGGGCAACGAGGTGACTAGCCATCAGAAGGCAGAAGAGAGGGTGCAGGGTGACCAGTCACCCCAGGCTTGGGTGCAAGAAAGAATCCGAAACACTTGCTGATTAAACTTAGGAACAAGGAAAGAACTTCAAATCCCTTTTCCCAGAGAGGTTTAGTCAAGGCAGGTCCTTTTGGGCTCTCCTCACCCCAGCCCCTCCCTCCACCCCTGTCAAACCCCGTCCAACATGCCAGCCATTCATTTTCAATGTTAGAACCCACTGAAATCTCAGCAGCGGAGAGGTCACACAGCACAAGTGTTAACTTGCAGGATGTTGTCCAAATTGGTGGTTCGGGGGGAGGAAGAAACAGTCTGGTTCTTCTTGCCGTCCTTTCAGAGGGTGTTGCTTGGCAGGAGATGGGACTCCCAACAGCCGAGGAAACTCAACGGAGCCCTTATTTAGGCTCCAGGCACTGTGCCGATCCCCCATGGCCAAATTCTTATTAAATAGAGGAGGTGCTGTTATTATAGATTATAGAGCCATTGTATAGACGAGGAAGCTGAGGCTTAGCAGAGTAATGTAACTCGTCTGACCAGTAAGTGGGCTGGAACCCTGTCCTTCTGAGGACCCCTGAACCTCTAGGTACTTTTCTTCATTCTGCTGCCCTTCTTGTGGTTTATTTCCATGTAGACTGTTTCTGTTTCTGTCATTCACAGCAGCCAAGACTTGACAATCTCAGGACAGATTTTGATTTCACATGGAAGGCGATCATTTGGCAAAGCTCTAAGGCAAGGTCCCAAGCACCTCCACCTGGATTCTGGCAGCTGACACATGCAGGTGTGTCCCCTGTGCCAGCCACGGCACTGTGCTCCAGGCACACGACAGTGAGTGCCTCCTCCAGCGACAGAGAGAGGAGATCAATAATCGCACATGGAAGCATAAAATGACAACCGTGATAAGCCAAGGACACTCCGAGGGCGCGCAGAGCCGGTCAGAAGGAACCAGGCTGGTCCAATCTGACTTTCCCGGGGTGAGAATTAACAAGGGAGGTGGAGGTGCATGTAGAGTGTTTTCGCCTCCCTTGCGGGGCTCCTGGGAAGCTGCAGGGAGACCTTAATAGATAAAAGAGTGACAACATCCCAGGAGTGTGTTTGAGATCCCACGGGATCCCAAGATCCCACTGTTTCACCACCACCATGGATTGGTTTTCATACGGTAACGTCCTCGGTTTCCTCCTGCAAATTTGCTTTGATAAATATGCATCTCAGACTTTCCTAATGAAGATTGAATAAAGTCCTAAAACTCCTTACCCAAAATCCAAGACTCTAGTCTTAGCAAAGAGCGCCATCTACTGGTGGATGGACAAAAGGAGCTTTTTGTTCTTGCACAGATCTCTATAAACCTCCGGGGGAGGGAGGGGTGGAGCTGGGCCAGGCAGAGAACGTGGAGGGGGGTTTCATGGCAGCAGTATAAACCGTGGGCTCAGGGGTCAGACTTCCTGAGTCCCAGCCTGAGCCCCACTGCATACCAGCAGCAGGCACGTGGGTGGCCCTGCACCTCTCTGCGCCTCAATTTCATGTGCTATAAAATGGGAACAATAGTACCTATACACATAAACTGACACATACAAAGCTCTTAGGACAGTGTCTCTCACAAAAGAACAACTCAATAAATAGTAGCCACTAGCAGGAGTAATAGTGTCTATACGATGGCTGGAAAATTGATGAAAAATACACCTCAACAGTAACCGCAGCCATCTCCAGGTGCAGGGGGGGGGGGTCTCTATACATCTTTTTTCCTTCTTTATGTTTCCCTGTTGTTTCTAAACTTTCTACAGTGACCATATACTCCCTCTCCATCGTTCATCTTTTTAAGAAGCCCCATTTCACAGATCCCCAAAGTTGAAAGAAAATTTAGCCGCGGAGCACGTGAGCAGCCTCTCGGTTCTGCCTCTCTTTCCGAACCGAACTGCACCTTCCACTCCTGACCCTGGTCTGCGTCTCTTCTTTGTGAAATAGGAGCCTCTGCAAGTCCCCCTCTGCTCACCTGGCTTGGTCTCTCATGCCCTTTGTAGGGAGGGACAAACTGTTTTTGGCCCTGGGAAAGAAAAGTTTGGTCCCCTTGCCCAGGGAGACTTGAATGGCCTTAAAAATCTTTCAACAGCAGCAGTGGCTTCAATGTCTCTTACAAATGTCCCAACCAAAAGTCATCACCAAGGTGTTTAACTTAAAGCGAGACTGTTGTTTCTATAGGTAAAAAAAATTCACGAAACACACACAGAGAGCGATTTTCTGCTTTCCAGACAGACCGTTTGCTCTGACAGACAGTGGGCTCAAATCCTACAGTGTTTGAAATGTTTTTCTCCTGCATTTGGTTGCCCTGGTCGGTGACGCTGCTGTTACAGCCTACCCAGAATCGCACTACCTTAGATGTGTGCGGAGCAGCTAGTGGCTGCCTTAAGAAGGAAGCTCTAGCAGTGTGGCCATGGGTCAGCCTGTGCCTCAGCTTCCGCATCTGTGCGATGGGGAAGTAATGGTGCTCGTCCGAGGTTTAAATGAGGTAAGGTGCATGTATCTCCCAGAGCGCCCAAATGGGGAGGTTGGCAGCTTGCCCTGTCCAACCAGGTTAAGTTGCATTATTTTCTGTCTCATCTGCAGCAACCGCAATGGGGCAGCAGGGAGGCTGAGCATCAGGATGGGAGGAAGTTGCACAATTCTCTGTCTGCCAATTGCAGTGGGGTCTTCTTTCTACCCAAAGGTTGGGGTTTATTCACTCTGCAAAATGCACGAGTGACGGCCTGAGTGTTTATCGTCCCATTAGATCCTTGCCTGTCTTTTGAACTCATTCTTTTTCTCAGGAAGAAACGGACCTGCTGAATCCTTCATTGATGTGGGAGCTTCCCCCATCTTGTGGCTGCCTGCAGTGTTTGTTCTCAGGCTGAGGGGAGAAATGTTTGTGTTCTTTTCACATAGCAAGTGTCCTTTCTTCTTCTGATAATTTGTTTTTAAAAGCCACGCTTTTCTTGTGCTTGACCTTTAGTTTTTCCTGTCTGCGTGCTTGAAAAGGTGGGACTGCCCTTGGCCATATCCGAAATTCAGTTCTGTTTCTGAGCAGATGTGTGTGCATAGTGACCACCTGTTGAGTGTTTAGCCTGGGCCAGGACTTAAGAATATTTATGTCATTTAATTCCTGCAACAACCCTAGTTAGACCCTATTGGTGTTGCCTACTTGTGGCTGGAGAAATAAGGCAGTTCGGTAAGTTCAGTAAGTGGCTGAGCCCAGCTTCAGACCCAGGGCAGGCCTTAAATCGTAGCTGTGATGCTGCAGCCATACTGACCGTGGCTCCTACACAAGCGATCATGCCACCTGCCCTCCCGGACCAGGCTGACCAGCACGTGGATTCTTCTGGTTAAAAGAGAGCTTTATTTCAGCTACTCTTGGCGGCTCCCTGCAGCTTCCTTGCCCTTCATTGGAATAATCCCCATTCTGTGGAGAAAAAAGACTCGTGACTTTCCTTCACAGAATATTTTCAGATTCATTAAAATCTCAGCAGGATCACCCAATTTTCTGAAGTTCATATGGTGGAAATGGTAATAGTGTCTGTAACTCCAGGTCGAATCCACGTGGGAATTTCTGAGTGATGGTTAGAAGCAAAGTTAGAGATTACAGAGCTAGAGTTTTCACTTAGGGCTCAATTAAGTTAAAAAAAAAAAAAAGAAGAAGAATTTGCTTATGTTTCAGGCACTGGCCACTTTAGGGTGACACGTCGTTTCTCAGCTCTGTCCGTAAGCTTGGCCTTGCTGATGTGCTCAGAGAGGGTGCCCAGCTTGTTGGAGATTACACAGGAGGCAATAGTAGGAGACAGGGCTGGAGAGTTCTGGCCTGCCCCAGCACGTAGATGGACAAATAGCAAGTGGGGTAAGCAAACAATAGACTATTACTCAGCCGTATAAAGGAATGAAGCACTGACACATGCGACAACATGGAAGAACTGGGAAAACGTTATGCCCAGTGAAAGAAGCCAGACACATGGGATTGTATGGTTCCATTTATACGAAATGTCCAGAACAGGTAACTCCATGGACAGAAATACCTTAGTGGTTGCCAGGCCTGGGGGAGGAGGGTGGGGACTGCTGATAATGGGGACTGAGTGTCTCTCAGGGGTGGTGAAATGTCTTGGAACTGGATAGCAGGGGTGGTTGCACAATATTGTGAATGTGCTAAATGCCACTAAGTTGTCCACTTTAAAATGGTTAATGGTTAATGTTATGTTATGTGGAATTTTACCAAAAAGCGAAAAAGAGCTCAGCCTAGAGCCAGATGCCTTGGGTTCAAATCCTGCCTCTGTGCTGTGGATAATGGGCTCCAGGAGGACTCCACCCAGCTCTCAGAGCCTCAGTTTCCTCTTCAGGTGTCAACTCTGGCCCCCCGGGTAGGTAGGAGGGGCCGATGGTGAAGCCCCATCCCCACTGGAGCTTCGGCTAGTATCAGTGCACGACCAGAACGTGTCCTTCTGGCCAGCGGACAGGCTGGCTGGTGCTGGGCCTCCACCCTCTGACTTTCTTTCCCAGCAGGGGCTGGAATATGTGTCCAGGAAACGTGGAGAGAATGGTGATTCCAGCATCACACTCTCTGTGCTCCTGTGAGGTGCAGCGGTCCCTTGTCCTGGTGTGGTCCCTTGTCCGGGCTGGGTCTCAGTGGCAGGAATGTCGGTGTCAGGCAGCAATGAGCCCCTGGAAACTCATCTCTCTTGTCTGCTGCCATGCGCCTCCCCCCTCTCCGTGATCACTCGACATTACAGTGGACCCCAAGAGCACTCGCCTGGCATCCACCCCTCTCTGAGAACAGGCCAGCCCACCCCGTGGCCCTGGAGCCAGTTGGTGTTGACGGCCCTGCCAGTCTCTGGCCACAGATAACCGCCCCTGGACACTGACCACCTAAACCAATAGGATCCTCAGCAGGGGTCTGGGTTTGGGACTCAGGGGTCCTCTTGGGGAATCCCCAAAGGCCCGATTGACAAGCTGGAACTGGCTGGTGAACATTTTGGTCTGAGTCTGATTTTTTCACATGGATAATATGCGGTCAGGGCTTCGGTTCTTGGCGTCTATCTGCATCTCCTTGTGTGGGCTCGTTTGGGAGGTGGCTTCTGCCCTATCCCACGGTTATGGGTTGAAGTGTGTCCCCAAAAACAATATGTAGAATCCTAACCCCCAGTACCTCCGGATATGACTTTATTTGGAAATGGGGCTGTCGCAGATGTGGCTAGTTAAGACGAGGTCATCCTGAAGTGAGGGGCCTCTAACCCAGTGTGACTGGTATCCTTATAAGAAACGGCCACGTGGGGTTGGCCCGGTGGTGCAGTGGTTAAGTGCGCGGGTTCCACTTCTCGGTGGCCCGACGCTCACCGGTTCGCATCCCGGGTGCGGACATGGCACCGCTTGGCACGCGATGCTGTGGTAGGCGTCACACATATAAAGTAGAGGAAGGTGGTCATGGATGTTAGCTCAGGGCCAGTCTTCCTCTGCAAAAAGAGGAGGACTGGCAGCAGTTAGCTCAGGGCTAGTCTTCCTCAAACAACAAAAAAAAGGAAATAGCCACCTGAAGACAGGACACAGTGATCATGGGGGCAAGGACTGGAGAGATGCTGCCAAGGAATACCAAGCGTTCCCAGTGACACCAGAGGCTGGAGGAGGGAGGAAGGAGCCTCCGGTAGAGGTTTCAGAGAGAACGTGGACCTGACTTCCCATGTCAGATTCTAGAACTGTGGGAGAATAAACTTCTGCTTTTTAAAGGCCCCCACTTTGTGGTACTTTGTTTCAGCAGCCCCCAGACCAGTCCTGAGATATTTAAAAAAGTGTGGCAGTCTCTGCATTGGGCCCTCTCTCCGATGCCATTCATGTTAGTCTGTGCAAGGGGCAGGGAGCGCCTGCCCGACCCTCCCAAACAACGTTCCCGGCAGAGTGCTCCTTTCTCTGAACGCCTGCACGGCCCTGCATTGCCCAGCTCCGTAGAGAGGCTGGCCTTCCCTGCGGACGCCTCTGAGATGAGTGGGACACAAAGGCCACAGAAGCTGGGGAAAGCGTGTCCTTGAGGAATCAGCTTCTGGGTGAGGCTGCGACGTTGCCCTGCAGAGGAATGGAGGCCCTGCCGGGCAGCCTCCACAATGGGCCCTGCAGACAACGATGCAAGCGTGCAGGTCATCAGACCCAGGTCACCGCCCTCCTCCGACTGGCCACCTCCGGGCCTTTTCAAACCTTGTCTTTTCCTCAATCGTGGAGTGAAGGGTGTACGGGGAATGAGGTAGCTCAG